CATTTCAGCACTTTCAACAAGCTATAACCACCAAAATTCTTCCTGTCTCTCCTCAGTACTCCAAGTGGACTATTCCCACTGGGAATAAGCCCTTGTCCATCCTGGAAATCATCCCATCATACAGAACCATCCCATGTGTCAGAGATGCAACAATGGTTCTTTCATCTCCTTCCTTCATACAGTCCAAGGCACAAGACACTCCTCCCAAATTTAACTGTTAATAACGTGTATTTCTTTCAAATTGGTATACTATTTCAATTCAGAAGGTTGGACGGATTCTACTCCTTCTCCTTCTCCTTCTCCCATTCCTCCATTGGTCATGACAAAACTTGAATTTAAAAAAGGTTATACTGCCAATTAAAAATTAGACAAAATAGCTCCAAGAGAAACAAGTCAACCAGATTCCTCAAGTGTTTTTTTAAAATATTCATGGGATGAGGAAGTAACTGGCTAGGCCTACATTTATAGCCAATCCCTAATCACCCAGAAGGCAGTTAAGAATTAGAATGTTATGTGTACTCAAGTATAGAAATAAATGAGTACAGTGAAAAGTGTACAAAGCTGCCAACTTGGTTCAAAACCAGAACTTTAAAACAAAACAGCAGAAATAAAAGAAAGTCAAAAAGGTAAGAAAAACATCCAGAGCTTAAAGTCTAAATCTTATCTCCATAAAAGGTGTTTGGAACCACAAATGCAGGCACCCGGGCCTAGCAATGGCCTGGAGTCTTGGTCCGCCTGGGTGGAGCCATGTCCGCCGCCGCTGCCTCTGACCACCGGGAGGCTGCCGCCATTCCGCGCATGACTCGCTCTCGCTGCTGATCCAATCGTCAGGAGGAACCACATCCACTTCTGACACCACCTCAGACTGCCCGGAGGCTACCACCATGCCAATGCTGCCGATTAACCCTCCGCAAAAGGCTTTAAAGAAGAGAACGAAGAAAAAACAAAAAAAAGCAAAGAGCAAAAGTAAAAAGAAAAAAGAGAAAGCATACAAGGAGGGCACTGGACTCGCTCAGGAGCCCACACAGAGCCCTGCTATTCCACTGCCATCTTGTATTCAAGAGTCAACCACAGTGCGGTGGGTCTGGAATCATGTGTCGACAAGACCAGGTATGGAAGGCAGTTTTCTGCCCTAAAAGTCCTGAGTGAACCAGATGGGTTTTTCCATTAATCAACAAAGGAATCATGTTTGTTAGAGTCTAATTCCAGATTTTTTTTAAAAATTGCATTCAAATTCCACTATCTGCCATGGCAAGATTCAAACACAGATCCCCAGAACATTACTTGGATCTCTGGATTTGCAGTCCGGTGATAATACCACTAGGCCATCGCCTTGCCAACAAGAAGTTAACAAATGAATAATTTGTTTGATTGCAAAAATCTCACAAAAGCAAATTCTGCAGAGAGTGTTATTTCAAAATAACTTTGACCAAGCAACAGTTAAAGTCAGAAAAAAGAAACGTTCACAGATTGTCCAAATGCTGTCTGTAACCGAAGTCACTTTCCACAGAAGGCAGGAGATTCAAGTGTCACCACGACAACTTCTGGTCATTACAAATGCAATGCTTTTGCTGATGTAGCCAATGTCCTCTGCTTTGTAGAGTATTCTCTTCAAAAAACTCAAGGGTCACATATCCAAACAATATTATAATTTAATAAATCAATACATCCAGCCAATGACAGCATAAATTACTGTTTTAGGTAACACATCTCCATAACAATATTATATTTGCTTCTCACAATATGGTCTCCTTTTCCACTGAGGAGTCCTAATGTAGATTGGGTGATTGGTATAATAAACCTCTCAGTCAGCAAATGGGATCAAACCTTCCAGACTGCCTGTCATCTTAATTCTCACCCCAATTTCCAAATCTGACTCCTGTTTGTGGGGTCCATCACTGTTCTAAGGAAGTTCAAGAGAATTTAGCGTTTCAAAATGGCAGTTTATAGACTTCTGCACTTAACAAGCTCAAGACTTTCAAATCGCAACCACTGCGCCCAGGTTTTTGGATAGATGTGATTATTATCATTTTGTTGACACCTTGCTAGACATATCTTGTGATTCTTTACTTGTACTATTATCATCTCCTTTTACCTTACACCATTATCTATTTTGCCATCCAATCTCTCCCACCAATTTTATTTTATATTTTGTATCTCTATTTGTTTGTTAATTTGGGTGGAGGATAATCTACACTGGGCCTCAACATCTATTTCCTTGGCGCCTCCTTCACCTCTGTGCAGTTAAGAGTCAACCACATTGCTGTAAGTCTGGAGTCACATATAGACCAGCTGAGGACAGCAGTTAGATTCCCTAGAGGAAGTTAGAGAACCAGATGGGGTTTTTTTTCCCCCAACAATCGGCAATGGTTTCATGGTCATCACTAGGCACTTAATTCCAGATTCTCATTGAATTCAAATTTCACATTCCAAGGCAGATTTGAACCCAGGACCCCAAAACATTACCTGGGTCTTTGATAATACCACAGGGTTTAGTGTTTGGGCCTCAGCTATTCAAAATAAATATCAATAATGTGGATGAAGGAATTTCTATGTTTGCAGATGAAACAAAACTACATGGGATTGGTGGGAATGATGTAAACAGGCTTCAAGGTGCTTAAGTCAAGTAAATGAATTGTCAAATATGTGACAGACACAGTGAGGATAGACGACAACATTTCCTCCATGATAATCCTCAGCACCGGCACCCCACAAGGATGTGTACTCAGCCCCCTATTGTACTCCCTGTACATTCATGATTGTGTGGCCAAATTTCATCCGAACACCATTTACAAGTTCGCTAACAACACCATTGTTGTAGGTCGGATGTTAACAATGATGAGTCAGAATACAGGAAGGAGATAAAATGCTTGGTGTCATGGTGCAAAGATAACAATCTCTCCCTTATTGTTAGCAAAGCTAACGAAATGATCATTGACTTCAGGAAGAAAACAGGAGGACACACCCCTATCTACATCAACGGAGCCGAGGTGGACAGGGTCGAAAGCGTCAAGTTCCTAGGAGTGACAATAACCAACAATTTGTCCTGGACCTCCCAAATAAGCGCAACAGTCAAGAAGGCACAACAATATCTCTTCTTCCTCAGGTGGCTTAGGAAATTCAGCATGTCCATAAGGACCCTCACAAACTTTTACAGATGCACGACAGAAAGCATTCTATCTTAATGGTTTAGTACAGCAATTGCTCTGCCCAGGACCATAAAGAACTAAAGAAAGTTATGAATATAGTTCAGACCATCACACAAACCAACCTCCCATCCATGGACTCCATCTAATTTCTCGTTGCCGCGAAATAGCAGCCAACATCATCAAAGACTCTTCCCACCCCAGTTGTACTTTCTTCCAACATCTTCCAATAGGCAAAAGATACAGAAGCTTAAACATACGTGCTGACAGGTTCAAGAACAGCTTCTTCCCCATTGTCATTAGACTGCTGAATGGACCTCTCTAATTTTAAATCTAATGTTGATCTTGCTTTTGTGTACCTCCTGCGCACCCGTAATCTTGTATACCTCGCTGTAACACCCTTCATATGTCCTTGTCTGTTATGATCTGCCTGTACTGCACACAAAACAAAACTTTTCACTGTACTTAGGTACATATGACAACAATAAATCAAATCAAATCAAGAACAGTGTAACATGGATAAGTCTGAAGTTATCTACTTCGGTAGGAAAAACAGAACGGCAGATTATAATTTAAAAGGTGATAGATTGAGAAACATCGATGTGCAAAAACAACCTAGGTGCTCTTGTGCACAAGTCACTGAAAGCAAGCATGCAAATGCTGAAAACAGTTAGGAAGGAAAATAGTATGTCAGTTTTCATTGCAAGGGGATTAGAATACAAAAACAAGGATGCCTGACTGCAGCTTTATAGGATCTTAGTGAGACCGTTACTATGAGAAGTTTTGGCTTCATTTCCTAAGAAGGGATATACTTGCCACAGAACTTCAGCAATGGTTAACCAGATTGAAGCCTGGGATGACTGGACTGATGTATGAGGACAGCTTGGGTCAACTCTGCCTGAATTCATTGGAGGTTAGAAAAACAAGAGGCGTTCTCATGGAAACACAACATTCTAATAGAATTGGACAGAAAGTATGCTAGGATTATGTTTCCTTGCAGATGGTGGTGGGGTCTACATCAGGAAGTCATGGTCTCAGAATGTTAAAATAGGCCTTTTAGGACTGTGATGAGAAGCAAATTCTTCATTCAGCGGGTGGTGAACAATTGGAAGTCTCTATCATATTAGGACTGTTGAGGCCAAGTTAGTGAATATATTGAAGAAAAAAAATCAGTATGTTATTGACTGATGGACCTGGTTTGATAGGTCAAACAGTCTGCTGGTGCTGCTTTTTTTGCCCTCTATGCTTCCCACAAACGTTAATGAAATCAAGCAGATCATACATCTTTCCTATAACATAGCAACATAGGAATTAGGAGAAGGAGTAGGCAATTCAGCCCTTCGACCCGCTCTGCCATTTAATATGACCATGGCTGATCTTATCCTGGTCTCAACTCCACTTTCCAGCCTGCTCTCGACAGGACTTTATCCCGCCTTTCATCAGAAACATGTCTATTTCTTTCTTGAATCTGCTGACTGATTCTGCCTTCACTGCACTCTGTGGCAGTGAGTTCCACAGATTCACAACCCTCTGAAAGAAGTCGTTTCTCCTCACCTCAGTTTTGAGCCATCTCTCATTTTATATCTCTGCCCTCTTGTTGAGATGTTCCCCCCTTGATGGGACAATCTGTTCAACATCCAACTTATCATTCCACTTTAGCATTTTATACAAAGCAACATTGGTAGAGTGGTAGAAACATTGAAAGCTAGGAACATAGCAGGATTAGGCCTTCAAGCCTCTTCCGCTATTTAATACGATCGTGGCTGAACATTTAGAAAGCAGTGGCAGGATCAGACAGAGTCAGCATAGATTTAAGAAGGGGAAATCATGCTTGACAAATCTGTTGGAATTCTATAAAGATGGAACGAGTAGAGTTGACAAGGGGGAGCCAGTCGATGTAGTATATTTGGACTTTCAGAAAGCGTTTGACTAAGTCCTGCGTAAGAGGTTATCGTACAAGATTAAAGCGCATCAGATTGGGGGAAGTGTATTGAGATAGATAAAAAGCTGGTTGGCAGAGAGAAGACAAAGAGTAGGAATTAATGAGTCCTTTTCAAATTGGCAGGCAGTAACTAGTGGGGTGCCACTGGGATCGGTGCTGGGACCCCAGCTATTCACGATATATATTAATGATTTGGATGAGGGAACAAAATGTAACATCTCCACGTTGTAGATGATACCAAGTTGGGTGGGAGGGTGAACGAGGATGCAGACATCCTTCAGCATGATCTGGACAGGTTGGGTGAGTGGGCAAATCAATGGCAAATGCAGTATAATTTGGATAAATGTGAGGTTATTCACTTTGGAGGCAAAAACAAGAAGGCAGATTACTACTTGGATGGCTGTAAATTGGAAGAGGGGAGTGTGCAGTAGAACCTGGGTGTCCTTGTGCACCAGTTGCTAAAGGTAAGCATGCAGGTGCAGCAGGTGGTACAGAAGGCAAATGGTATGTTGGCCTTTATTGTGAGAGGTTTCGAGTACAGGAGCAGGGATGTGTTGTTGCAGTTATACAAGCCTTGGTGAGACCACACCTGGAATATTGTATGCAGTTTTTGTCTCCTTTTCTGAGGAAGGATGCTCTTGCTCTCGAGAGAGTGCAGCAAAAGTTTACCAGGCTGATTCCGGAGATGGCGGGTCTGACATATGAGAAGAGATTGACTAGGTTGGGATTGGTTTCGCTAGAGTTCAGATGAATAAGGGGAGATCGCATAGAGACTTATAAAATTCTATCAGGACGGGACAGGGTAGATGTAGGGAGGATGTTCCCGATGGTGGGTGAACATAGAACATAGAACATAGAACATAGAACAGTACAGCACAGTACAGGCCCTTCAGCCCACGATGTTGTGCTGAACTTTTACCCTAAACCCAAGGTCTATCTAACCTCCACCCCTACCTTTTACTATCATCCATATGCCTATATAATAGCCGCTTAAATGCCCCTAATAAGGCCGACTCCACTACCCTCTCTGGCAATGCATTCCACATCCCTACCACTCTGAGTAAAGAACCTACCTCTGACGTCACCCTTATATCTGCCTCCACTCACTTTAAAACTATGTCCCCTCGTAATAGCTACCTCCACCCTAGGAAAAAGTCTCTGGGTGTCCACTCTATCTATACCTCTGATCATTTTGTGCACCTCTACCAAGTCACCTCTCATTCTTCGTCGTTCTAAAGAGAAAAGCCCTAGCTCTCTCAACCTTTCCTCGTAAGACCTTTCCTCCATTCCAAGCAACATCCTGGTAAATCTCCTCTGCACCTTTTCCAACGCTTCCATATCTTTCCTGTAATGAGGCGACCAGAACTGGACACAATACTCCAGATGTGGCCGAACCAAGGTTTTGTATAGCTGGAGCATAACATGATAAAAGCAAAATTCAAGCTGTAAAGCCAACACTATCATTCAATACGATCGTGGCTGTTCTGTTAACTCAACTGCATCTTCCAGCGCTATCTCTATATCTATGACTGCCCTTGGCATCCAAAAATCTAATGCAATACAAACTTCAACAGTGCTTAATTGGCTGTAAATTGGTTAATGGACCTTTCTGGACATAGTGTGCAATGCAACTGCAGCGTTCTTCCAACCGCTTTCAATTTGACAAGTGAATTTGTCGTAGTTTGAACTGCAAGAAGTTCTTTCATAAGTATGGAAAATAGTAGGAGTGATCCATTCGGCCCTCTGAGTTTGCTCCACCATTCAATATGATCATGGCTGATTATCCAACTCCGTACTCTCTTCCTATTTTCTCCCCTTACCCTTTGATTCTTTTAGCTCAAGAATTAAAACTAACGTCTACTTCAAAACATTCAATGTTATGGCTTCAACCACTTTCTGTAACAGAGAATTCCACAGACTTACCATTCTTTGGGTGAAGAAAAATCTCCATCTCAGATGGCATACCCCATATCCTTAGATTGTAACTCCTGGTTCTGGATTTCCCCCAGTCACTGGGAGCACTGTTCCTGCTTTTACCTTGTCTAGGGTATTTTAGTGAGTCAGCTTTGACATTAATGCAACAGGCAGCAATAATTAAGTCAGAGTCATTTGTGTGTTCAAGAGTATTGGCATATTTTGTTCCATATTGAGAACAATGGAAATGTATGTATAAAAATGATCCTATCTGGATTATAAAGTACTTTACTCGAATTTTGCTCCATTTTATTGTCAATGAAGGTGATTTTCTACATTATATATTGCATTTCAAGTGTTTTGCTGCAATACATTATCTTCTATTCTGATGGTATATTTATACTTCAACTGTGGTTATCACAAATGTCTGCTTTGTTAAAACGAAGTGCACCTTCAATGCATACAGTTGAGCACGTACTCACAGCTGGCACAATCTCCAGGCTTGGGCTGACAAATGGCAAGTAACATTTGCATGACACAAATGCCAGGCACTAAGCATCTCCAACAAGTGGCAATCTAATCATTGCTCCTTGACATTCGATGGTGTTACCATGACTGAATCGCCCACAATCAACACGCTTGGGTTGCCATTGATCAGAAACTCAACTTGTCGCACATAAACATAGATGCTACAAAAGCAGGTGGTGAGTAACTCCCCTCCTGACTTCCCAAAGCCTGTCTACCATCTACAAGACACAAGGCAGGAGTATGATTGAATACTGTCCACTTGCCTGGATGGGTGCAGCTCAAGAAGCTTGACAGTGGCCAGGACAAAGCAGGCCACTTGATTGGCAGCACATCCACAAACATCCACTCCCTCCACCACCGATGCTTATTAGTAGTAGTAGTAGTAGTGTGTACTATCTACAAGATCCACTGCAGAAATTCACTAAGGCTCCATAAGACAGCACCTTCCAAACCCATGACCACTTCCATTTATAAGAACAAGGGTCACAGGTACATGGGAGCACCACCACTTGCAAGTTCCCCTCTAAGCTACTCATTGTCCTGACTGTCACTGGGTCAAAATTCTGGAATTCCCTCCCTGAGGGCATTATGGGTCAACCTACAGCATGTGGGCTACAGCGGTTCAAGATGGGCAATAAAAGCTGGCCAGCCAGCAACGTCCACATCCCATGTGTGAATTTAAGAAAAGTTGACATTTTTGTGCAACATTGATGTGGTGCAGCACTCTTGGTGGTGCTGTTTTTGGGAAAAGATATTAAGCAAAGGCCACATCTGTCAACTTGGATAGACATCTAAGATCCCATGACACCATTTTGCAGAATAGCGTGCAGAAGAGATTCACCAGGATGTTGACTGCAATGAAAATCTTAGTTTTTGTGGAAAGACTGGATAGGCTGAGTTTCTTTTTCTTAGGAGCAAAGGAAGCTGAGAGGGAAGCTGATTGAGATATACAAAATTATGAGGCAGAGACAGGGTAGATTGTGAGAATCTCTTCTCCATGGCAGACATATCTAACACCAGAGGGCATAAGTTTGAGTTGAGGGGCAAGTGATTTAGGGGGGATCTGAGAAAACTTTTTTTCACCTAACCGATGGTAGAAACATGAAACATGCTGCCTGAAAGGTGGTGTAGGCAAGTGTTCTTGCAACATTTAAGAAGCATTTGAATCAGTACTTAAAGTGCCAGGTCATAGTAGTCTATGGATCAAGTGTAGGTAAATGGGATTAATGTAGTTTGGTGTTTGTTAGTTGGCATACACGTGGTGAGCCGAAGACACTCTGACTAAGAATGCAGCAATTCTCTTTGGTTTCATAGCTGCTAATTTTGGATAAATGTGAGGTTATCCAATTTGGTAGCAAAAAGAGGAAGACAGATTATTATCTAAATGGTAATCTAAAGTAAAGAACTGCAGATGCTGGAAATCTAAAACAAAAACAGAAATTGCCGGAGAACTCAGCGTGTCTGGGGATAGAAAGAAGATGGGTTACTGGATTCAGAATATTAACTCTGTTTCTCTTTCATCAGATGCTGCCAGACCTGTTGAGTTTCTCCAACAGTTTCTGTTTTTATCTGAATGATGGTATTTTGGAAAAGGTGCAATGAGACTTTGGTGTCTTTGTGCACCAATTGCTGATAGTAAGTATGCAAGATAAGCAGATAATGAAGAAGGGAATTGGTATGTTGGCCTATATAGCAAGAGAATTCAAGTAGAGAAGCAGGGATGTCTTGTTGCAATTGTACAGGGCCTTTGCTGAGATCACAACTGAATTCTCACTATGAAAGAAGTACAACGAAGACTTATCAGACTGATTCCATGAGATGAGGAGAAATATCTTCACCTGGAGCATGCGCACAGCCACTCTAAGGTTCTACACGTTGTTAGCACTGCTGCCTCACAGCGCTAGGGACCCGGGTTCGATTCCACCTTAGAGCGACTGTCTGTGTGGAGTTTGCACATTCTCCCCGTGTCTGCGTGGGTTTCCTCCGGGTGCTCGGGTTTCCTCCCACAGTCCAAAGATGGATTGGCCATGCTAAATTGCCCCTAGTGTTCGGGGATGTTTAGACTAGGGGGATGGGTCGGGATGGGTCTGGGTGGGATGCTTTGTGGGTCAGTGTGGACTTGTTGTACTGAAGGGCCTGTTTCCACACTGTAGGCATTCGATGAACTTCGATGAGCATATGGCAGTCGGCGTTGGCACGCCAGTTGTGGCATTGACTTCTGGTGCCTGAAGCTATTTCACACACAACTCTGAGGCCC